CTGCTTTGAAACCAGTGGACTAAGGACTGAAACCTCTATAAACTGTGAGCTGAAATAAACCTTTCTTCCTTCCTTTAATTTTGGATGTTAAGTATTTTGTCTCAGCAACGAGAAAAGTAACTAAGACAGGCAGCACTGCACAAACTGCTACCATAGATCATCAAGGTACAGTCAATTCTTCACTAACATGACAGATACATTCCTAAAAGACACCACACTGAACCATGAAAAATTGCAATAAAAACCACAGGGCTTATGGCTGAAGTGGAGCAAGGAGCACAACACTCAAAAACTATTTCACACATTTTTTATAAAAGAAAAATTTAATGAAAGCAATACACAGTTTTACATGCATTAAATGGCTAAGAAATATGGCACTGGACCTTACGAAAGGCCTGAAATGAATGTTGAGAGTGTTCCAGCTAGTGGGTTATAGTGAAGTAGTGAAAAGAGCTATCTGAAATTAGATGGAAAGTTGAGCAGATGGAAACAAACATGGCTTGTAACACTCACAAGCATAACAGGGTAAACTGAGGTAGCCAGTTTATGTTTAGCCAGATATGTGAGGGATGCATATGTGTGTTTTTGTGTATTGCTACATGGCTTGATTCAGGTATTTCCTGCATTCACATGGGTTCATTCAGTGTTTCTTATGGGTGAAACTATGAATAAGCAAAACACAAAATCTGTGTTATACTCAGCATATTCCCTCATCTATTCATTGAATTAGAGCAAACTCACATTTTCAAATAGGATTATAGCAGACCTTACTATACTTAAAATTATAAAGCAATACATTCAAATATAAACTTTCAAAATTTACAATAAGAAGGATAATGAAAAATCTTTTGTATCCCATCAAGTTTTGCTGCTGATCTCACTGCAAAAAAAATAGAATTATTGAACCTTCAGTTGAGTTACCCAGTTTTCTTTTCCAAAGGAAAGCAAGTAATCTAAATTTGCTGGCCTCTTCTGGAATGGCAAAATGCCTTTCATAATCAAAGTAAACACCTGCAAAGTCTCCCTTCATCATAGAGGTGGAATTTGAACCCAGAAAGAGAAAGTAAAAGGTTGTCAAAAGAGACCTGAGCTATGGAAGAAATATTTTTAAAATGAATAATTGGAATTGATTCTATTATCAAGTCATTTTTTCACTGAAAATGTTGCATCATATATGAAAACTCTGCTATTTCCATACATTAAACTATATACTGAATTTTTCAATGCATGTAAAAATCTTCCGCATGAGGGGCCAGGATTTAGCTCAGTGGTTCCACCGCCTACCTTGCAAGTTCAAGGTCCTGAGTTTGATCCCCGATACCTGCCCCCCCCAAAAAAAATCTTCCACACGAGTAATTTCTTCAGGTCTCAAAGCCAATTATTAAGAGTATAAAAAGTATCACTCCCAATTAGTTTATAGAAAAGTTACCAGAAAGATAAAGGTTTATGGCCACATTTAATAAAAAAACTTTGCATTATTAATAGGAGGGATTGAAAAATGACTGCCTAGAGATAATAAGTTCAGCCAATGATCTACTTATTACCAAAAATATATGTTTATGAGCTATCTTTTTTGGCTTTAACAGACAATAAAACAAAACATAGAGCTAAATTAATCTTGGAGACAAGCCTTCCCATTATACCACCACAAAATGTTATGCTAAGATTTTCAAAAACTTTGAAGAATACATTTTGAAAGTATACTAAATCACATTTATTGCTCTGTTTTGCTCAATATTGGGAGTAAAAATGATTCCACATCACTAGTAAATATAATAAAATACAAAATTATTTTAAAACTTTAATGTATCAATTTTTCTCTGCACCTAATACATATTAGACATGCATGTGATTATTTTATAAATAAGTAAGAACACAAACAAGTGTATACAGATACAATGTACTTAATTTTTTTGATAGACATTGGATCAGAAAGATTTTAGAGAACATTGATAGAGTTAATGAGAAAATGAAACAGTTTAACTGTTCATTTTAACTGTGTTCAACTGCATGTTACCAGAAATACTTTAGAAGGTTTCATTTTCTCATGTAAGAAAAGGTTAGATGTAGGTAGTCCAGCAAGGGATTCTCCTGTGTTTCCACAAAGCCTTATTTAACAGTTGGATTCACCCTCCTTCACACAAGGTAGCTGCCACACCTTTAGAAGTCATGTCCACATTCCAAAAAGGAAAAAGTGAAAAGAAAACAGGCAAAATATACACATTAGCTGAAGGTCTATACAGATATCACAGGGCTAGGTAGTGGGACATGAACTGAGGCTCTGGCTGCATAGACATGGAAGCAGAGAACAGAGACAGAGGCTGACAGTTTGGCATCAACAGCTACTGCCGTGAAGTGAGCAGCAAGCCTGCTTGCTAGTTAGTCGCATAAGGCAGTGGGGGCTGAAGGAAACTGTTCGGGTCCTCACTGGGCAGCCAGAGCCTGCTCTACACCTGAGAGTAGGCTCTGAAGGGACCAAGGCAGCAGATTTTCTGGAAAAGAAAATTATGAAAAGGAAAATGTAAACAAGTTTCTTACAAGCCTCACTCACACTTCTGAACTCACTAACTCATTTTTGGAAACAATAGTCATCATGGCTTTAACAGGTCAGATGGGTGCCAACTTCAAAATACTCTTTGGGAAAACCCTGCTTGACAATGCTGGAAATTAACCTGTGAATGATCTCTTCATTTACTTATATAAAGCAATCTTAACGATTATAGGCTACTACGGGAAACACAAAATAAATAAATAGAGAATCCTTGCAACTTCAAAGAACCACCATCACCAAATTCTGTCTAGGGTAATTTTATCCTGATAAGGAAAAGCTACCCTGATTTATATTCTGCCTGATTTTATCATATATAGTATTTTGGAGACTTTTGCTCTGCAATAGAACCAGCTACTTTGCTGAAACAGCAGAAATAGTAAAACTTGAGGCCAAGATTAAATATTGCTCACACAGCGTGTGTGTTCAAGCTATTTTATAATGCTCAAGATTCAGGCTTGTACATTATTCATGTACTCCAAACAGGGCCTGTGATAAATTACTGCTGAGATGCAATCGCTGGGAAAGGATAGCTCACATTTACTCTAAAAAAAGTTTCTTCTCAGTTTTTTCTTTAAGGTCACTGCCCTGGGCACTGCTGACCCTTCAATAAAGTTTATCCTTTGCCTTCCTACATGTTGCACCATACAGATCTCCATTCTGTCATCTGAAGCACAAATAGAATTTTCCCACTTGAATTTTACACTCTGAAGGACACAGCTCCAGGAGAGCTGTAATAGAGAGCTGAGGCCCCAAAATGTAGTGTGCAAGTCTCCTCCCGGCCCCCAGGAGCCCAGCCCACTGTCACTTTCTCAGAGATGTCCCTCCATTGTTCATCCCTTCCCCCTCGTACTTAAATCTCTCCCTATCCGTAGAAATCCTGAAGCTGGGGGTGGTAGCACCTGTCTGTGATCTAGAAAGCTGAGGCAGGAGTGTTAAGCCCAACCTGAGTATTTTATCAATGGTGCCAAGAACTTGTCACAAAAATAAATAAGTAAACAAACAAATAAAAAGGATCGGGAATGTAGCTCAATGCAAAGGCCCTGGATTCAGTCCCACTACCATACACATACACACAGAAGAACCACTCCTGATTCCTAGATACCACTGTCGCTGCTATGGCCTCTCTATGGCATTCTGTTCTTACCATGATCCTTAGATAAGGGTTTATACAGTCTTCACCTCCTCAATTCCCTACTGTCGTGACTCTTGCCACCAGTTAAGTGCCCCTTAAGCAGGCACTTCTGCAGCAGGTCTGTCTCCAAGGACCAACCTGCTCTGGGCCTTCACAGGCACACAAAGGTGCCATGTGGCAGGCTGTCCTTCTCACCCTACTTCTCTAGCTCTCCGCCCTTCTGTAGTCCTCACTGATCATCCATTGCTCCTTTCCCCTCCTCAATGCTTGCTCAGCCTTTTCAATACCCCATTTCCCTTCTGAGAGTCCTCCTTCTTCATCATCTCCATATTGTTGATTCCCTGGCCCTTCGGGGACTGCAGGTGGTTGTATCTGCATGTCTTCAGTTGCTCTATTGATCTGCTACTTCCTGTGTACTTCACTAGCTCCAACTTCCATGCCTTTGTTCAGAGCACTACTCCTGCTAGTGTTGCCTCTTGTCCCTACCACTGTGCCAATCACTCGGGCCACCTGTCCTTGGACAGACATAATGAACCATCCCCTGCATCCTTCCCTGATTAATCTCCACACCACATCTCCAAATACGCAGAAGCACAATTTCTCTCTCCATGACAGTACAGGGTAGGATCTTTGTCTCTTTATTTTTTATGATTATCTCTCTTCCTTCATGCATAATTTTACAAACTACACTATGGAAACAAATGCAAACAATCATTACTCACGTGATGAACTAATGCTGACACGGACCTTTTATAAAGAACAAAACAATTATTGATCTGGAAGCCACTCCCTACTCTCACCCATCTTGTCAACACCTTGTCTATCTCTCTATTGCCATAGATCTGACTTCATGGATACACAGCTAATTATCTGCCTTCTCCAAGCCTCAGGGAGCTCCTAGGAAACAAGAGAAGAATCAGATTTACTCTCTAATGCCAGTACCTCACAGTGCCTGAGACAGAATAGGGGACTTCATAAATACTTCTTACACGTAGAAATGAGTTTTGAGAGGGAGGATTCCAACCGGGAAACCAGGCTGTGATGGAAACCATCAACAGGAAACCATCTCGGATGTTGATGAAAGATAAAATTAAGACTGAGAGGCTCAAATTGTAAAACGCCCATTATCAGAAAGGATTTGTTTTATATATGTTTTTAAGGCAAACCTCAGGGAGATGAACAGTGTGTGCTGAATGTAGACCAGGAAAGGGCACCTTAAAAATGTGTCTGCTTTCAAGGCAACAGATAAAACACAGATCTCAACTTCTAAAATAAATGCCCCCACTTATTCAGGAAATTGTGAGTAAGAGCCTCTATGTGACAGGCAGGGAACTAATCACTGGAATTAAAAGTAATGTTCTCATGGGACCTCTTATAGTCTTGGGGGGGTAGACATTAACTGGTAGTAAGGAGAATGGAAATGCAATTGCAAACTGGAGTAAGTGCAGTGAAGAAAAAATAAAGAATGCCAAGAGCCTGTCTATAGCATGATCGAACCAGTACCATGACTAGTGAGAAAATTATTTTTTTCTTTAAAAAGGTGGGGGAAAAGCCATACCTGGATCAGCTTAAAATGTCTCCTCCAACATCTGTCAAAACAGCCTTGCTTTCTACAGTCTTGACCAGAGGAGTGTCATGAAGAAGATCATCTTCATGCTGCTTGTTGGTAATGAAGCCGTCTTCAGAAAAATGCTGCAGTGGCCTTCACTGCTTCCTTCTTAAAGGGAAATTGTGAACATACTGAAACCTCTGTTTACCCACACACACTTAATTTCCCTTTAAGAAGAATCCTGAAGAGTGGCTATGCGGGATGAACAGTGTAACATCCCCCCACCTCTCGGAGTGTTCTGGCTGCCACTTCCCTGCCGAGCCCAGTACTACAGCGTGCTTGTTTGTCCACAACTCTGTCCACAGCACACTTCGTGGACTTCTCTTTTTTTGCTAATTGCATAGATATAAACTGGTGCCTAATTGGCGCTTCTTTATTGTAAGGTTAAACATTTCCAAAAGCTGATTTATTGGCTTTTCTTTCTTGAACAAGTTATTTTACCTCTCTAAGTTGAAGGCTCCTTATATGTCAAACAAGGATGGCCACAACACCTATCTCTGCTGTGCTGTTTAAGGATCAAATGAAAAAAAATCTTCTCCAAAAGCTAAATCTAATACATACATGGAGAAAACATTCAGTAGGTGTAAGTATTATGTCTATGTATCCATTTTCAACTGAGTGCTCCTTTAGAGTTGTAAGTGCTTTTATATAACAAACATGCCTTGGCAGAATGATTGAAAATATTTCCTCTCATTCCATCATATTCCAGGTTACTTTAATTTTATTTCTTCCTATTGATGGAAACTTTTATAAATATATATTCAAGGAGGACTTATGGACTTCCAATAATATTTTAGACTTTTTTAATTCTGTAACATTTATTTTGGAAATTACATTTACATGGAAAGGCGAGTTTACTCTTTGGTTCCCAACCATTTTCTAAAAGGTGATCTTTAGGAAATTGAGGTAATCTATACCGCTTACCATACACGTTTGTGTTTGTACTGATTTTTTGAAGTCTGTTCATTAAGCAAACACTCCCTGTTTCCATTTGGCCAGGCAATGCCTGGAGAATGATAGGGAGGCAGTTGCCAACTTAATCCATGGAGCTGGTTTTTTCTAAATGCAGTTTCCAGAATGTCTGGAAGCAACTAGCTGGAAAAGCCTCTGCACTACATTTTAGTTTTTAATTTTTTTTTTTTGCAAACTGAGAAGCCTAGATCCCCAATTTCAAGATGTCAGAACTCATGTTGTTATTGGATGAAGCTTGAGGACATTATGCTAAGTGAAATAATACAGACAGATAAAGGCAAATACTGCATGACTTCACTTGTAAGTGGAATCTTAAAAAGTTGACCCCAGAAACAGAGAGTAGCACGATGGTTGCTGGGGGCTGGAGAATGGGTGAAATGAGATGTTGGCCAAAAGGTATCAAACTTCCAGTTACAGTGAGTAAGTTCTGAAGATCTAACGAACAGCATGATAACCAGTGAATAATACTATATCACATACTTGAAATTTTCTAAGAGAATTGTTCCCACGACATCAAAAACAAACAGAAATGGCAATTGTGTGAGGTGGTGGATGTGCCAACTAGCCTGACTGTGGCGCATATATATATAAATATATATATAAAATGATCATCATCATGTACATTTTAAATATATGCAATATTATTTATCAGTTATGCCACAATAAAGTTGGGAAAATAAAATAGAAAATCCCATTTTAAAAAAGAATCATTAACAAAATGCATGAGATTTCTGATTTCATTCATGAAGATTTTTCTTTTTTAATTACTTTTATTGGTACATTTTAGGAATACAATATAATGACATTCATCATTGGAAATTTCTACCTTTACATAATCTCTCTTGGTTCTTATTTTTTCCCCATTCACCTGCCCTCCCTTCAACCCCTCCACCCCTCCCTATCTACAAAGACTTTGTTTCCATTTTTTCTTTTTCTCAAATTAATTCCATTCCCTTCTTTCTTTTCCCCTACCCCTCCCACTTCCCCTTCCTCTTTGCACCTTTTCATCCTATTTCACATTATCTATTATACCTTTTAGTCCTTATTTACACTTTCAGTTTTCACACTAGAGAAAGTATTTGGTATTTACACATATGTCCTTTTTATTTCACTTAAGAGGATGGCCTCAATGTGCATTCATTTAGCAATAAATGTCTCTAGTTTCTCATTCTTTATGGCTGAGTAATACTCCATTTTATTTTTTTTTAAACCCACATTTTCTTTATCCAGTCTCCAGTTAATGGGCATTATTTGGGCTGTTTCCAAGTTTTAGCTATTATGAATTGTGCTGCTATGAACATGGGTGCACATATATCACTGTGGTATGATTCTTTTAATTCTTTGGGGAAGATACCCAGCAGGGGAATAG